ATAGTTTTTACCAGACCTCAAACCTTCTCCTTACTGAAGGGTGCTACCTGTTTTTTTAATAGATTCTCTAGTGTGTTTGAGCCGAGCCAAATTAATTCAATTTGAAATTGATTACCTTGTAAGGCCTGTCCTTATCAGACCAAAGTTGCAAAATAACCTGCTATTTTCAGACTCTGGATATTGTCTGAAGCTCGAAATTGCTTGTTCACCAGACCGATACGCTCATCACACCGATACGCTCATCACAAATTAGATGAAGACAGGCGCAAATTAAGCAGCTATTACCCAAATTGCCGGCTATTTTGGAAACAAGACCAAGATTTCTCTGGATATTTTCTCGACCAAATAGCCCGCTAATTGCAACTGCGTGCTGATGAAGACGCAAATTGGCTGGCTAATTTGAGATCGGGCTAGTTAAAATAGCGGGTTATTGTGCAACTTTGGTCTGATGAGGACACGCCTGTAGTGACTGATTGCAACCCATCAATCAGTGGTTGGATCCGTGGATACAACTTCACACAATAAGATGCGGCCAATTTGTAATTGTTTAGCTCAAATTGGCCATTGTCATGTTGAAATTGCTTTAATTGTGAGCAGGGGGGCCAATTTGCTGTGGTGTAAGGTGTATTCAGAATTTGAAACCCATCAAACAATTGAAATTGTTTTGGAAAAGAAAAAAGTGTATTCATGTATACATGTACATGTATGTATTAGGAAACCTAGCTGGTAACTCTATACCAGGAGACCTTTTCATATTGATTACCAGTATTCCAAAGCCAAGGGGAGATGGTTTCAGTGAAGTCTATTTTTTGAGTTGCTCGTCTGTCTCTTTCTCTCTTTTTCAATGTTTTTGCTACATTATAGCTCTGAAAGGGTCTTTGTACTTTTTGTACTTCTCTCCATCTCCCTCCCCCTCTTTCTCTCTATCTATCCCCATCCTCTCTCCTTTTCTCATTTGCTTATTGCTATTCACCCCCCTTTTCTCTTTCTCTCTCTCTCTCTCTTTCCTTCTCTCTCTCTCCCTCTTTTCTCTCTCTTTCCTTCTCTCTCTCCCTTTCTCTCTTTCTCTCCCCTTCTCTCTCTCTCTCTCTCCCCCCTTCTCTCTCTCTCTCTCCCCTTCTCTCTCTCTCCCCTTCTCTCTCTCTCCCCTTCTCTCTTTCCTTCTCTCGCTCCCCTTCTCTCTGTCACTTTTTCTTCTTCTAAACATCTTTCCCTGCCTTGTCTATTTGCTTCCATGTCTTTTACTTTCTATTCCTGTCCATTTCTGCCTTTGCATATTTTTTTTCCCATGGTTATGGTTTTAATAAGTCTATATATATATATATATATATATATATATATATATATATATATAAAGGCTATTTTAATTATCCCGATCCTAAATTATCCAGCTGATTTGCGTCTCCATTAGCCTGCAGTTGCAATTACATACATGCCAACTGTTCAGATTAAAGAGGAACATTCCTCTTTTTGGGAGAAGATAATTATCATTTTAATGCAGGTGTTCCTCTTCCTGTACAAATTTGTCTGTAGTATTGAATAGGAGAGTTAGGATTGTTCCTCTTTTTTTTTTAAATAGCATAATTTGTACAGATTTCTGATTTTCAAATGTTGGCATGTATGCAATTAGCGGGATATTTGGTCGAGATAATCATAGAAAGATATCTTGTGCTAGTTTGCAAAATATCCTGCTATTTGTCCGGTGCGTCTTCACAAGCCCGAAGACTCGCACTATGCATAAACGCTGAGCAAAATATCTGGAGCTCGAGTCTAGAGCTGATGAGGACGCGATTTGTAACTTCAAGCTTATTTTCCCAAATCCGAAATAGCGGGCTATTTGGCAATCTCGAGCTAATGATGACATACCTTAGTTTAGAGAACTTTGCCTTGAAGCCAAGCACATTACCTCCAGCCCATAATCAGAAGTATCCCTTAAGGTTTAGTCCTTGTTCTGGTTTACAAGGCAATTTCTTCTGAAACGAACAATCAAATTACCTCTCCATTATAAACAGGGCGATGGCAATTTTCTCGTGTTACATGGGTCCCTAATTGAATGAAAGATACTCTGGTCTACTTGATAAGAGTGTTCTATTCTGGTGAAAACCCAGGAGGCATGTTGCCCTTATTTCACATTAGATGCGTAATGGGCATCTAAAAGGATGCCTCGAGTTCTCTCTAGCACCATTCAAGATTCCATGATACTGGATCGGAAATTTGTGTGAAATTAAAAGATATCCCAAGGGAATAAGGTTGTATTGCTGCCTGTCATATACCCATACATGTATCACTTCTGAGTTCTGACTTAAAAAATGTACATGGCTGAACATTTCATAGTGGAGAGATCACGTCATAAACTCTTGAGAGAAAAATAAGATTGATCCTCGAAGTATAATTATGTATTTTTAAGCTTCTTCAGTGAACATGTACATTTTGGTGACTGAATTCTTTATGAAACTTTCCTATACAGTTTCCATAACTATTCAGAAGGGTGAACTCCAAACTTTTACTGTGAGTAGTTGAGACATGTTTGCACTTTAATAGTTAGCTTTCCATGATACAACATAAAACTATCATGTGTACAAGTTACTACCGAATGCTAACACACATGTATACGGAAAGGGCTTTGCCTGTTTCTAGCTTTTAGGACACATTTGGGACACATTTGGAGAGAGAGAGAGCACAACATAAGGTTCCACAACACATGGTCCTGTGAGAGTTGCGCTGCGGCAAAATTACTAACTACATGTACATGTATACAGACCAAATCCAATTGCAACTCAACTTTAAACCTAACATGTCATCTGTTTATACAGCCAGAAGGATGTTAACTCTCTGTTTCAGTATAAGAGTTAAACCCCCCCCCCCCCCCCCCCCCCCCCCCCCCCCCCCCCCCCCGTCTGACTTCAAACAAACAATATCTTTGACGAAATATGTTGTTATTTAACGAATTGCATGTCCTAAATAAAGTTCTCATCTAGCTCAGGGGTGATCTAGCTAAAGATTTTGCACACATCAAAATCTTATTCCGCCAGCTGTCACGTACCCACTTTCATATATATGCCCTCCTACCCGTGGCGGCTGATACAGTAGGATATTACACTCTTCTATTTTTACAAAGTTAATAAGTCTCTTCTTGTTCTCCAGTCCTCGCAAATTATTGTCAAGCACATACCTTCATGTATACCCTCGGCATGCTTCCGCATAGTACACAACATTATAAACAATATACCTCCCACCATTTCCCCTTTCCCTTCCCCGCTCCCCCTTCCCCCTTCCCCCTTCCCCCTTCCCCCTTCCCCCTTCCCTTCCTCCTCTTCCCTTCCTCCTCTTCCCCTTCCCCCTCTTCCTTTCCGATTAGCCTTGGCATCTGTCCATCCCACATCCATATGTGGTGGTGTTGCTATGCCAGGCATGCGTGATGTGAGGCTTATCATTGTCTCTCTCATCTCCTGTTGGTAATAGAGTGAGAAAGACAACTCAATGAATTAGAATCGGTCGCAGGTCGATTCACGACATGAAATGTCAATGTCAGTGGTAATTGTATAGAGGAAGGGGGAGGGGGCTGAGAAAAGGGTGCAGAGTATTATAATTTGTACATTGTACTCATTGTAGACCTATACAGTAGATACATATACAGGAAGCATTCTCATCGGGCATACCTACATGTACATGTATACCAAATATGAATGAAGATATTATAAAGCAGTGAATATCTATTTGTTTCTTTTCTTCAACTTCATTGGAAATTTCTTTACTGGATCTTTGATAGTATGATAAGATTCTTCTACAAATGCCTTGGTTCGGTGTCAATATCCTCCACTAACAAAATTCTTTTACTTTGAAACTGGACCAAACACTTTGTCTTACCGTAACCTTAATCTCAAATTGAACACTAACCCTAATGCTAAACCTACGTACATATATAATACTGACAGAATATCACCACATCAATGGTCGCCATAGCGAATGTCAGGGCCCCGTCTTACAAAGCGTTACGATTGATTCAAATCAATCCTAAGTCCTCCAATCAATCGCAAGTTTGGCAGTCTCCTATCTCTTATGTACCTGTACATAGTTGCGATTGATATCAATCGCAAATAAATAAGTTGCGATTGATATCAACTCTTTGTAAGACGGGTTCGAGGTCATCAAAAATGTGATAACGTCCTTGTGTCTCTGCACCTAATGCTGAGGATGGCTAGCCTAGAGGGAGACTTGCGATTGGCAATGTACATACTGTGAATGATTTACACTGAAGCATGTGCTGACAAGTGAAGTGATGACACCCGTGTTGTCTTTGAATGCCAGCTCGATGATAAGCGTAGGAACCTCATACGTGGTAGCTCAGTAATGCAGATCATATGTTACAAGATTGTAACAAGATATTTAAGGAATGGCTGGAAGGGGAAATGATCTGGTGGAAATGAAAAGTGTTATCCTGCGGGTTTATGATTGTAAGTTATAGCCTGGGAAAGTTTTTGATATATCTGGACAATCACTGTAGATTAAAAAAGAAGATTTTTTTCTAGGTAAGAAATGTTTGTCTACACATTGAACAAAGGAATCAATTGTGGCAGATCTGGTTCTTTAAGGGGGTATCTCACTGATCGGCGAATGCTTTCGAACGTTGCGAATTTTGGCAGTTGGCGACTATTAGCGACTGTAAGCAAATGTTAGCAACAGTTTTGGGGAAGATTAGCAACTATTTGCCAATCCTTTGCCACTGTTTGTGAATGTTTGGGATCTTTTACGAACCCTGGCAAAACCCCAAATTCTCTACATTCGCAAGCATTCACCGCTCAGTGAGATACCCTCGTAAAACTTAAACCTGTGGTAGCATTTCCTGATTATCAAGAATTTATTATTCTCTATTTTATTTTCAGGTTACCGATGTTTCAAGGTTGTCATGTTCCTAGTGGGTTTCATCCTGGCTTCCTTAGACATCACCCTGTGGTAGCATTTCCTAATTATTAACAACTTATCATCCTCTTTATTTTCAGGTTACCGATGTTTCAAGGCTGTCATGTTCCTGGTGGGTTTCATCCTGGCGTCCGTCATCTCGTTCCTGATCTGCCAGGAGCAGAGCTCTCTAGCGACCGGAGCCAACGCCGGCATCGCCCTGGCCATCGGCCTCCTCTGCGGCCTCATCACCATGCTCATCCAGATCGTCGGCCTCTTCATGACCGGCGTCCACATGGGCCTCTTCTCGGCCATCATCGTCCTCATCATCGTCGAACAGTTCGTCCACCTGGACGTCCTCCTCATCCCCATCGGCATCACCTTCATCCTGGGCATCGTCTTCGGGCTCATCACCCTCAAATTCCAGAGAACTTTTGTGATCCTCGCCACCTCGCTCATCGGCGGGGCGATCGTCGCCACGTGCACAGACTATTACCTTGAGCTGTTCCGGATGGTGAACTACGTTTACGATCGGTTCAGGTTGCAGGTCTCGTTGGAGCCATGTTGGTATAGCTGGCTTATACTGGCATTGTGGCCGTTTGTATCGCTAGTCGGGATTATCATCCAATTTAAAGTCACAGCTAAAGGATTTAATCATAAACAAGGTAGGTGGAAACTACTTCAAATTATTTTCTTATCTCCAACAGCTCAATGTTCTGTATGGAAAGTGAAATTGGGTAATTTCTATTATCTGATTCGAACCAGAAGGGCCAGAACTCTTTGTCAAATTATATTAGTTCATGCCTTTCTGGCTTTAAACAGGGGAAATATTTATTCCTTTTTTTTCTTCTGTCATATTTCTTTTTGTGTATCCGTGTGCATTCCAGAGCCCTACACATGTATTTAAAGCTTGTCTGCACTAGTTTATAGGAGGGCTTAGACCACCCTGCAAGGTCACTGGACAGGTGGTTATGGTTATCTCATCAACTCAGCTCTCAACTAACATAAGAAAAAGAGAATCATGGGGGACCAATGGTCGCCAATTAGGCATTGTTTTCTGTATAGAGGAAGCAAGTACAGTGTCGCTTAAGTTGTCTATTAAACCTAAACTGTTCTTTGCTTCAATGGATGTGTTTTTGGTGCAGAGGGGTATTCTAAGGTGTCTTTAAAAATCCTCACGAAGAGTTACTGTCGTTTTGCTTGAGAGGCATAGATTTTTAGCCTGTGGTTTTATTCAGGGTGAACGACTTGTGCCCCAAAAGATAAAGTGAAAGGCTACTGTAAGGTAGCATAAGGCACACATGTCTTTAATGCACCTACAGGAAGCCCGAGTGAGAACTCTACCGAAATGAAACTCGAAGGCCACTGATCCTCGATTCCATAACTACCCTAAGAAACGGCTTCCTCCTCGGCAAACCACAAGCCGCCGACGTCAACGCCAAGCAGTGCAGAAGATGGACGGGGAGGAGTGACACCGCCCTCGTGTGGTAGCGAAGCGGAAGCGGCAAGCGATGTTATCTCGGCCCATGGTGGTGCAAGATTGGCCACGGTCAGGCGGTGAATGCATAAAACAAGAGCTCTGCGGTAGATTGTGTGGGCAGATTGAAAAGGTTTGACAACTTAATAATCAAGACTCTTGCTGTATATTCATGTACCCTGTATTAAAGAGAAGTTCAGAAAAGTTGTAGAAAATCCGAGAACAGTTTGTGGGAAAAGTACGGTAATGAATTCTCTAAATCGTGAAGATCACCATGGCCTTTAAGTATCTTTGCTATTTTGCTTTGTGACTTAATTTCCATTTGATTTTTTGTGGTACAGGAACCTATCCAAGATTATCCATAATGCTCTCACTCATGCTCCCACACCCACCCACCCTTTTCTCACCCCCCCCCTTCTCTCCCCCCCCCCCCCCCCCCCTCTCCTTCTCTCCCCCCCCCCCCCCCCCTTTCCTTCTCTCTCCCCCCTTTCCTTCTCTCTCCCCCCTTTCCTTCTCTCTCCCCCCTCTCCTTCTCTCTCCCCCTCTCCTTCTCTCCCCCCTCTCCTTCTCTCTCCCCCTCTCCTTCTCTCCCCCTCTCCTTCTCTCTCCCCCTCTCCTTCTCTCTCCCCCTCTCCTTCTCTCCCCCTCTCCTTCTCTCCCCCTCTCCTTCTCTCCCCCTCTCCTTCTCTCTCCCCCTCTCCTTCTCTCTCCCCCTCTCCTTCTCTCTCCCCCTCTCCTTCTCTCCCCCCTCTCCTTCTCTCTCACCCTCTCCTTCTCTCCCATCTATCCTGATATCTTCTATGAGGTTTATTTTCCTGAACACTTTCAAATCGTTCAGATATTTACCCTTATTATAATCAATCTCGCCATGCACATGTCCATACATTTGTACAGTGTACAGTATGTACATTTTTACAAAGTACAGTGTACATTGAATTTAAATTGTGCACACCGAGTGTGTTTTCACTATTAAAGCCACCATGAATATACTGTACCCTACTCCGTGCACGAATCCATTGTTCACAAAATTGACAGGAATATATCTGTCTGATCTAACTCAGCTTATAAAGCAATATGAGGATTGGAGAATTATTGGGATTTAAAGCCATCCAAATCGACCTTCGGATAGTAATTGGATGTTATGAAGCATATCAATACCAAAATAGAACTACAATTGCATCCTACTGTATTTCCATGCCTTTCAACATTGTACAATGTACCTGTATTTTGTATTTTTATAATACAAGTCATTTGTCTGAATAAAATGGGACTTTGTTTAGTCTCATTACAAATTTGTTTTCAACAGAAATTATTTAATCTCTTCTCTACCCCAGACTCGAAGAAAGGTTTTTTTAAAAAAATACAAGCAATATTACAAACGTATTAATGATTTAGTATCGTTATTTTAGGATATCCTCAAACAATGAAAGAGTATGAAATCATTGAAGAGGAATATTACAAATGTCTTACAATTATAATAATTATAATGAGTGGAGAATGTGCATACATTGTGTGCAGGTAAGCCCGAATCTAATGACCGGGGTAATAATATATATCTGTAAAGCGCTTTGAGAGGGCCTGCGTTCCTAAAAAGCGCTATACGAACAAACTATTGTTATTATTGTTATTTTGGGATATCCTCAAACAATATTTTTTTTCTTTTCTTTCAACAAAAAAAAGAGCACTTCAAGTTTAATGCACAAGCGCACCACAAGATAATTTTGCCCGTTTTGTTTCTCTATAGTTTTTCTTTTAACAGCCCCCCAAAACAGAAAGTGAACCTGTCAGCTGCTATTGACTGGCTTGACATAACTCACCCACCTCGTCATTCAAACAATGAATTGTCATTTTAGGCTGCGTTCATGCTTAAATTTTGAAGGCAGAATGAGCGATCTGAAACGCTCATCGTAAACGCTCATCGTGATCGCAGTTCCACGATGTAGTGTTCATGCTTACTTCTCTGGCTCCCCCAGGCAATTCTCAGTGTGTGGCCTTAATTGGTCTTCCAGCTGGATTCGCAAACCTTCACTGTGCATGCTACGTAGACCCACTAGAGGTCAGTGCGTTGACCCCATTTAAACGCGTTTACAAATTGTAAACGCATCTTTTTGTGAGTTTACGATCGGCGATCGTGATCGCCGTTTTTCGGTGATTCTACAAAAGTGAGCTAAGACGCAACCGTGTTTAAAACTAAACGCGTAACAGATGCCTGATTCTGGCCGTCAAAATCAAGCATGAACGCGCCCTTAGTCTGGTCTATTTATGGGCTAGATTGCGGATAGTAGATCTGTCATTGACCAGGGTCTGTCCTGGGGTGTTGAGAGAGGTCTAGAACAGATAGACCTGGTCTTGTTTGTTTATCCATAGTAATGACCCAAGGCACACTTATAACAGCCCAAATTGGCTTCAATATCACTGGAAGTCTCCAATTTAGGCTCATTTACACCAGGGAAAAAATACTTTAAAAATTGGGGGGCTGGCTTGCATGAAAATAACACTCTTTAATTTGTTTTGCATTGAACTTTATGCAAATGTTGGGGGGCTCTTTCATGACTTTCGGGGGCTCTTTTTGGCATTTCGGGGGGCTAATTTGCCCGAGCCCCCTTTTTCACTGATTTACACTCAGGGAAAAAAATATTTTCAAAATTTTGGGGGCTACTTTTCAAGCTTGCTTGCTTGAAAATAACACTTTTTAATTTGTTTTGCATTGAACTCCATACAAATTTTGGAGGGCTCTTTTATGACTTTCGGGGCCCCAAGCCCCCATGTATTTCTTTCCTGTTTATACTGCAGAAAACCGAGTTTGACAAACCATCGTGTGTGTTTTTTATTTTAGCTACAATTGCATTATTGCAGTACTGGTAATCTAAATTATAAAAATATTGGTGTTTAGTGTTTACTAATTCTGTTGTTTGTTTTTTGTTTTTTAATTTTATAAGCAGTGTACTTTAACTTGTTGCTGCACTGCACACAAATAGCTTGGAAGTGTTAATTAAGAGCCACATGAGCAAAAAACAGAATAAATCACCGGAATGTTTAAAAAAAAACAGAGTTTTAGCTGGCAGTGTTAATGCCCCTTGTATAGTACATGTACACTGTAGGTCCAATACCAGTAAACCTTGGCTTAGTCAGATCATGGACGTCCTATGGTCAGATCATGGACATCCATGGTCAGATATACTAGAGATGTATTAATATGATATGACACATGTGCACTTGCATTTTGGCTTTTGCGGTCATTTTGGGATGTACGTCTAGGCAAGGATCGAGAGCTCCGCAGACTTGCCGTCCAGGTGTTTCGGAAGTGAAGTACAAATTTAATACTAGTGGTCATGAATTTGATTGAGATCTGATTGAGGGAGTTTCACTACTTGAACCTTTTAAAGGTGATACATGTACATGTACGTGGTTTTTACGGTATCACAATGATGACCACTGGCAAAAAAAAAGATGTAATGTTTGATTTTTTGGGGTTGCTGTTGCTTTTGTTTTTGTTTTCTTTGATATGTATTAAACTATTATTTGTCAAGGTGATGCAGTAATGCCTTCTTTGGGGGGGGGGGAGGGGAGGGGGGGTTTACTGACCTCAGCAACCACTTGAAAATAAAAAGAGTTCAAAAAATAGGCTTGTCGTCAAACTTAACTGAACAGATAGCCTTTCCGCAAGTACATGTACATGAACATACTAGTGTACATACCTGAAAATACTTATCCTCATGATCCACCCATCACAATACATTATTATTTCACGTAATAATTATTCTCTGGTCTATAGATAGCTCCTACATGTATATGCTCACCACCGAGAGCAATATTCCATACCCAGCCTGTCTGCAGCGCTGAACTTTATTAGCTGATGGTACTGTAGACATGTCTATACCAATCTCGTCTAGCTAATCAAAGGAAATTAGAGAGATTGGACAGTTTCAGGAATGCTAATACTGTTTGTTACTGTATGTTGCCATTGAATACAGCAATGATTCTACAATAGGCACCATTGTTGAAAGTATATAGTACTAATTGAAAATGACTACCGGTACTAAATAGTATTGCACACAAACTGTAAATGGAGTTAGAAATAGCTGATGCTTTATATTGCATAGAACAATTTCCCACAGATATCTTCTGTAGCGCTGAACTTTATTAGCTTACATTGTATGTAAGCGACTAAGCGTAGTGTCTATACTC